AAGAGTGGGGCCCAGGGGAAAAGGAGATGGGGACCGGTGGGGGGGGAGACAAAAGCCTCAGTTGATGTTTAGTAATATAATTTCGCTTTTATCAAATTGATGCTTCCCTGACAGTCCTGTCACTTTACCTCTCCTCCTTGTCTTCCTTTATCCCCCCCTTTTTCATTTTATTATTTTAAGATAAATAAAAATTTACATGCATTTGTCAATTCCATTACTATGAAAAACAGACTTAATGCCCAAAATAAAATTATTTTTTATATTATTTGCTTTGTTTTACACATTAGATTTGAGATGATATATTGATTGAAACGATCGATGAATAATTTAGAGTTTCAGATATAAACGAAGATAAAGAGATCGGACAAATAAGTTTATAGATTTTTTTTTATATATTTTTTACATTGTCGAAATGTAAAAACAATTAAGTTTGAATATGTAATATAAAAAAAATTATATATAAAAAATAAAAGATCTACATTTTGGATTTTTTTTATTTGTTTAAAGTGACGTTCTTAAACCTTAATAAAACTTACAAGTTATAGAATTAAAAAAAAAAGCACAACATAGTACAAAGAATTTTGTTGGAATCGTACCAGAGGAATGTGGACTTAATAGGGATTATTGATTATTCATTGATTAGTAAGAGGCCCAACCTGTATGAATAATTCAGTTGAAAATGGGCCTTAGGCCCATTACATATTGGGCATCTATTGGCTGCTGCTGCTGCTGTTTTATCCATTTGCCAAAAAAACCCAAACCCATTGATCATGTCATCACCCACGCCGTGAAAGAATAACGTTGGGCCAATTTGGTTAATTACTAAATAAACCGAACCATATGATCTGAACCGAACCAAAAAATAAAAAAAAAGTTGAATATTTTTACCAATGAAAACACAAACTAAACCAAACCAAACCAAAAAAAAAAAAACCGAAATTACATTCAATATAAAATCACCAAATGACTAATTTATCTATAACTAAAATAACCAAACACAAACCGAAACAGAATTCAATATAGAAAACGGATGTTATAAGTGAAATAAAAGAACCTAGAACCAAAAACCAAAAACCGAAAACCGAAATCGCCACCCCCTAGACCATTAGATCATTTCAAACATTTGTCAACTTTACAAATTCATCGTCTAATTAAGCAAGCCCTGCATTTCACACATATATGTATATATATATATAGAGAGAGAGAGAGGGAGCTGCAGAAAATAAAATAGGCTTTTTGTTTTCCCCAAAGGGAGTGGCCTTACACCGCAAGTAGAGGGTATTTGCTAATATATCAAGACACAGACAGAACAGCAAAGTCGACACATTTCCCCTAAACCCTAAAAACCCGAAGCACCCAAAACACCAAACAGTCATTTCCAACCCTAGAACAAAAGAAGAGAAAGGCAGTAGAGAGCATTGTTTTACTTATTACTGGATAAGGTGGGAAAGGAAAGCGGGCACCCAGCTTCAGGCCATCGCACTTGTCGTCGTCATCTTCGGTCTTAGACCCCACCCGATCCTCCGAAAGGCCTCGTCTCAGCCATCAACTCGGTTTCTCCCGTTGATTTCGGCTGCTGCATATAAAAGCTCGGGGGGTTTAAACGATTGATTTCACATCTCTTTTCGGGAGTTGAAAAATCGGAACATGCCTGGCCCTGAAGAGCTGTTATGGTGGACTTCAGCAGTTCGTCTCCCACGATCAACCTCAGCTTCCTTACAAAATCTGCTCTCGTCAACTTCTTCTCCTGTGAAACGAAAACGATGATGAACACCAATGTTCTTCTATCAATACCCGTAACTCGAAATTCTCCACAGGCCGCATACAAGTACAAAAGGGGAATCATCAATCATATGATCATTCTTTACCCGAAGAAGTTGATAGTCAGTCGTGATGAGGTCCATGTCTTTCTCGGGGATTTTATTCGAGATAGCAGCAAACAGTGTCGGGAAAGGCATCCACGGGGATTTCGGCCTCGTTGTGCTTGAACCTGCACTGTCCTGCCCCTGCTTTACCACAAACCATTCAAAAATATGTCACAAAATCGTATTCATAATCGATACCCCCTTAAAATAAAATCCCGAAGTAAAGCCCCGAACAATGTCTCCTTCCCGTTGGAGGAAGGATCGAACCAAAGAACTCACATTCACTTCTAATTTGGCAGGAGGCTTGGGTCCTTCCGAGGTGACCCCCGAGTTATCATGCTTACTCTGAGTAGCTACCATCAAATTCCCTGCACAAACAGCATGTTACCGAGCTTGAATGCTGCAGCAGAAAAATGTGATGGACGAAATACCCATCCCATACAAGGGATGAATTTAGTAGCCATGGATATCTCATCATGGCCACCGTTGAAGAACCAGAGAGTTGTTCATTGAATCCTGTTTATAAGTAGTCAGACCATGACTTCAGGATCCAGAGTCAAAGCTGAAACTGATCTTCAGCCGAATCTATGTGCTGTCTTCCGTCCAATGCGTCATCAGTTGATTTATTTAGACATCTGAAGTGTCTTTCAGAAACGAAAAGAACATTAAGGGGACAATAATCACCTTCAGCATTGGTCGTAGACAGCTTGAAGCTAACAACAAATTCTGGGAAAATATGTGTGTTCATATTCATGTTCCAGACTATGTAATGCCGGGGATTCTCGACATCATCAACTCCGTTATCATACTCCTCCCCACCAGCATAGAATTGTGCTTTATCACCACCAAGAAGCTCCATATTCCCCATTATTACGCGGCACAATACCATGTGACGTACACCATTTTCGTCAATATCACAATACCGAGCACTGTAAACAAGTTCAGGTTGGTACCCACATTGACACCTCAGTATCTCACGCAGATGCTTAGAAAGAAGAATTGCAAAAATAAGCTAAACAACGGAAAATAATATGAATAAGACACAGATAAAACGCATGTGTTTAGCAACCGAGCAAGAGAGTAGAAACCTGAAATAAGGGCAGTTTGCAGCGGTTACATGAACACCAACACCGTACATGGATTTCCTAATGAATGCCCCACTCTGTCGAAGCCCATGCATCATAATCATAGGTAACAGTTCCTTCTTAGCAGGAAGCCAGGCGTATCTAACATTTGCATTCCCTCGAAGCTTCCTAGTGATTTCAACCTGCTTCTGGAAAAGCTCTAGACGAGCCCGGGACATCTCACAAGAAGAACGGAACACATCAAGAACCTCCACATGTCCTAGAGCGGAAGTACCTAAAGCGAACATTTCTTTTACTGCACCTCTGTCAAGTCCCCCAACAGCAGGCTTGAGCTTAGAGACCATATTAGCATCAGTCTCATCCCACTTCTCAACATCATCACCGAGCTTACGGCTACAGCTACTCTCTTCCGCCTCATCAAATCGCCCGATCACAGGTTGCTGAACGATCTGATTCTCATTTATATTGCCACTAGACTCGCCGCTGCATTCCCTCAAATTCAGCCTTGGCAAATCCACACCATTAACATCGATTTCGAGCCGTAGCTTGATCTCGTGAGGAGCATAGTGCTCTAGATCTTCCTCACATCTGTTGTGGCAGTAGTCATTCATTTCAACATTGTCGTAAATTTCAGGGAAAAAACATTTGCCACCGACGTCAATCCATGCAAGTGGGGTTTTTTGTCCAGTTTCCAGGTCTAGTTGATGCATGTGCAAGAAATCAAGAACAAAACAGCGATCGTGCCACTGAAACTCAACTGCTGCTCTCTTCTCTTGTAGATCATTCCTGATGGCACATAAGATGTTCTCAGGCAGATCAGTCCACTCACCGTCCTCATACAACAATACACGCTTTGGCACTCCAGTCTTTTTAAAATAAGAATAGTATCTGATCAAAGACTTGCCAGAGTGATTCTCTTGAATTCTAAGCTTGTTTCCACCTTCCAATTTTCTCCTCTTCTCTAGTTTCGGTGTTGGCATGTTCGATGCTGGCTCATGGTGCAGCTTCGTGCATGAGGCTCCAGAGATATATGCCGCATAGTTTGCTGTATGCTTTCTCTTTTTCCCAAATCCATCTCTAACGCTGCTATCCGACACCTTCACGATCTTGGCTTCCATTTCTACCTATTAACAATGCTAAACCTAAAAGCTCGAAGAAAAAGAAAAGTAGCACCTCTAACTTTCTTGCAGTCCTAAAGATAGAGTCTCACAGAGAACACTGGAGAACACTGCACAAAAGAAAGTACGCATCAGATATTAATCGTAAGTGAACCCAAGTTACAACACATTTTCATGAACTTCAATAGACCGGAAATTATTGACGAATCAAATTAAGTTTATAATCAGTTCCCACGGTCCTGCTACCACACATATTGTGCAACAAACAAGCACCAAACAAGTAACTGAGCTGTGTATATGATCGTGTAAAACCATTCAAAGAGAAAGCATGAAACTTACCCAACTCTACAGTTAGACCTGATACATACAAGAGTGTTCATCTTGGGCATCTTCCCTTTTATAGAAATAAAGATAATCAGAGAAGAAAAGCCACCGTCTTACTATTCAATTTACAGCACTGGGCAGCACAAACCCTGTAGGACAAGACAACAAATAAGTCTTTAAACTCCAAAAGCAGAAGCCAAGCATCTCTCAAGGTAAAGCTCGGGCAGAAGAAGAAAAGTAACAACTGCAATGAAAACATGCTACAAATCGCACAAGAGTCCATAAAAACAAGTTCGAAAAGTCAAAGGCGAGGTTTTAAAACATCTGTAACAAAAACCAGTTAAGATAAGATAACAAGCCGACCACACCACATAGATGACTACGGAGTTTGGGCAAACTTAAAAAGTTTATTTTTTTTACTAACAATTTTTCCAAAAAAAACCACGCTGGTACCAGGAACTATAATAGAATCAGATCACGATCAAAACTCAAGTAATTTGTTCAAAATTAATCAAACATCACATATCAGATACCGTATGAAAAAACCCTAACCAACTTTCAATAGGAGTCGTATGATAAACCATCCTCAAACACAGCGGACATCCGCCCAATTCAACCCTAAAATCCTCAAATCGCAGTAGAAGCGAAGAATCTGGGCCGATCTACCACAAACCACCAATATCCCATAAATCCAAGTCAAACATAGATTACAAATGGAAAAAATCGAAACAGAAGCCCAAACAAAAGGTGCACCAATTTGCAGATCGGAGATCGACATCACGGAATACCAAACAAAAGCCCAAAAACAGAAGAATATGACGGGAGAGATTCGACAAAAGTTCGACCTGATGAACGCTTCTGATCGATCGCGAGGCAAGGGTTCTCAAACTAAGAGAGCTCACGGAGGGAGAGATAACCATAGAGAGAGGTCAGAGAGGCGAAAACCCTAAGCCGGCGACGACGAAGAGGAAACTGTTACGAAGACGACGAACCATTTATATAATACAAGTCTCCATGGCGAAGGTCAGATTGGGAAAAAAGCTAAGTCGGCGGTTCCATGGTTTTCTTTCTTCTCTACCAAAAAATTGCTTGGACGAAAAGCAAATCCCTTGGGTTTGGTAGCGTCACATGGCGGTGACTTATTATACATCAATGCTGAGATTTGATTGGACGGTGATGAATTAGTAAGGCGGTTGTAGTATTATACACGCTTACGATAGAATAAACATTTGACGAATATTGTAATGTTTATTGACGACGGACCATGATGAGATTGTGATATCTGTGGGGGGAGAGGTCCCATTGGTTTGAAAGATAGAATTATGGAAAAAAATAATTCCATTTCTATATCTTGAATTTTTTTATATAAATATATATATATATATATATATATATATTATAATTTATAGCCAAGTTGACCAAAGAAAAGAATATAGATCATAGTTTTCATGTCATTGTTTACATGGAACAAGAAGAAAAAAAAAACATGTGATTTATCATATTTTATGAAGCATAATTTAAAATATGGAATATAAACTTGGATATTATTTGTTAATATACAAGTTGAACGGGAATTGTTTTAAATATCTCGTCTATTCTTTATAAAATTAACAAAAAAAATCTAGCTCTTATACTTTTGCAAAGACATTAATTGGAAAACTTACACGTGTATATATATATATATATATATATATATACTAATTACCAAACAATAATAAAGGTTTTTAATGCAATAAATTGTTAAAGGATCACATGGCCAAGCTGTATACACAAAAATTACAAATTGTTACTGAGAGATCGATACATTTATTATTTATATATATATATATATATATATATGCTTCGGTGAGTTTTTCTTTTTCTTTTTTTTTCCTCCGTTATCCCATGTTTTAAAGAGAGATCGATACATTTATTATTTATATATATATATATATATATATATGCTTCGGTGAATTTTTCTTTTTCTTTTTTTTTCCTCCGTTATCCCATGTTGTAAAAATATTAAATATTCACTTCCTCTCTCCGGCTAGACATATGGGCCGAGTATATGGGCCTACAGCTATAAACTCAATGAGTAGGCTCAAATTTAGCAGGCCCATTAAGGTCCAACTCTCTCTCTCTTCCCCTGGAGTCATGTACCCTCGTACGTCGCTCTCTCTCTCTAGTGACCTGTATATATACCGCCACAGGTGGTTATCCTCTTCATCGTATCTTGAAGCAGATTTCGAAAGGCATATATAGAGCTAGGGTTTTGATCTCCGTGGCAACTGGAGAAGATGATGAACAGGGAGGAGACCGAGAAGGAAGGAGGTATCTTGGACGACTTCGTTTTCGTCAAAGCCTTCGATTACGCCATGTCTAACTACAAGGTTTTTTCTCTCAATCTCTCACTGAATTTTCTGTATGCAAAGCATGATCGTGTCGTATCGATGGGTACGATATTGATGTAATGAATGCGTATGAGTATACGCAAATATACATGTTCTGTGCGAGATCGTATCGCGCAAGGATATTCATACGATGAATTGATACTGATTTTGCTCATTCGGTGTTGTTCTTACGATTTTTGATGTCCTTAGTTTGGAATTATCAGGAATTAGAAGCTTTCTATACCTAAGAATACTTGTATTGTTTCCAATTCCAATAAGAGTAGGATTTCTGTTAAGGAAACGACGATCTGGATAAGTATAATTTCCAAATCTATAAACCTGAATCAAGTTTTCGTGCAATCTTGTCGTGATACCAGAGCCTGCCGTATGAATGTTTCTGTTTTCATGCAACCTTGTTAACAAGATTGATGCTCAATGAAATTGGCGCTCTTGACTTGTGTTATGCAGAAGATGCATAAGACGGGAAACACTGAGAGTGAGAGTTCGAGGGAACAAGCTGAAGATCTTGTCAGCGGCTTTGAAACGAATGCTACTCTCGAAGTTGACGTGAAAGTTACTCTTGGAGCTGACGTGAATGATACAGTTGTTAGGTAATCATACCATTACGGGTTTTGAATCTCGAATCGATGTTTTGCGTGAATTCTTGCTGTAAGGCTCGGAATCTAGAGCATTCTATTGGATGGTTTCTTGTTTGGTATTGTATTGTGATGTGTTGTTACTGTTGAAATCTGCTGTAAGGCTTGGAACCTTTAGCTTTCTCTGTTTGATCAAATTCTTTGTTCTGAATGATATATCATTGTACCGTGAATCCATGATCAAATGCATTTAGGATGCCCGAAGAGACGGCCAAGACTGAGAACCCTCCTCCTGCTGCTGAAAGGTGCACCAATTTGCAGATCGGAGATCGACATCACGGAATACCAAACAAAAGCCCAAAAACAGAAGAATATGACGGCTGACGAGGAATTCGAGAAGTTTGTTCGTGACTTTCAGGAGTCCGAAGAGAGAAACGCAAAGATCTTGGAGCAGTACTATGCAGGAGGATTGAACTATCATTACTACCCTTTTGAAGCTTCCGGGCATTATGCTGCCGCAGCCTATCAGCCATACTACACTTCTTCCGCTACGTACCCATATGGCAGTTACTGGTACCCGCTGCAACCGGCTTGGCATTATCCCCAACCTCATTATGCCATGTTTCCACCGGCTCCTGCGGGCGAGGACATGGTCGGGAAAGGAATTGCGGCTGCCCAAAAGGCGATTTCGTCTCTGAGAATCAATGCCGATGGAGGTAAGTAAAGCGGCTAAAATTCAAAGGCTGTACACCTTTCTTCGTTGTTTCATAGGATAATCGCAATCGCATATTAATATACAAATATGTGAAAAAATCCCATATAAATAATTAAATAGATAAACTTCCAAAAAAATATATATACAAACGATTCTCAAAATTCATCATATCATGGTGGTTTTTGGAAGTGGGTTTAAGTTTTAATTTCATGCCGAGTTTCGGAAATCCTTTAACAGTTCATGATTTCATATTTAAAACGATCTTGTTTCGTCTCATCCGTTAACGAAATCCAGGGGACGCGAAAACGGAAACGGGCGAGGGCGAGGAAGAGGAGATGACGACGGGGTCCGCGACGGAGTTGCACGAGGTCTTGAACGCATGGTACACGGCCGGCCTCTACACGGGAAAGTATGTCACTGCTGGTTTAACGTCTTGGTTCACTGCTGGTTTGCTTCTGTAGCCATTGGAACTCATGTCCGAGTTTTTCTCTGTCTGCGCATTGCAAACAGGTACCTCACGGAGCAAGCATCCTTGAAGAACGCAAATTAGGAGCTTTCTTTCTTTATTTCTTCCTCTTTTTTTTTTTGGGTTTAATTTTTTTATTTTTGGTTTTAGAAATATAATAAATTATCCCCCCCTTTTCTAAACAATCTTAGTGTTCCATTTATCATCAATAACCAATTAACCAAAAACCATTCGAACCGAATAATAATTGAATAATCGAATGGTAATTATTTTTTAAAATTTGAATCTGAAGGAAATCAGTGTAAAAGATAACAGAAATAATTAAAACAAATGAGTGATAGTTTTATTTATTTTTACTTCGATTCAAGTTTAGAAAAATAATAAACATTTAATTTAAACACTTCGACAAACAAAAGATGAGAGGTTTATCGAGTCCGAAAGCCAATCGATTTCAAAGCGACGTCGTTTCATTCATTTTATTTCGGCACAACATTAGGCCCATTATAAATATTCATAGGCCCAACAAGCCCTTTTTTACAACGACGTCGTTTAGCAACTCGAAGTCGCTCAATCGCCGGATATCTGTAGCAGGCTCGCGAAGGCGGAGAAGAAGAGGAGAAAGGGTTTTTTTTTTAAAGTTCGCGAAAATGGCGAGATCCACCAGTAAGGATGCTCAAGATCTCTTCCATTCTCTTCGTTCTGCTTACGCCGCCACCCCTACCAATCTCAAGGTCTGCCATTGTTTTCTTTTCCATCTCTCTCGTTTTGTATCAGTGGATTTCTCCTACTTCTGTCGAAACTGAATGCGTTTTTTTTTTTTGTCTTTGTGGAAATCACTCTTGCAGATCATTGACCTCTATGTCGGTTTCGCGGTCTTCACAGCTCTGATCCAGGTAACCTGATCTCGTTTTTTGTTTATTTTTTTCCCTATATCCGCGCTTTTCGATTCGATTTGTGTGGAACATTGGATTTTTCTGGGAATCATTGTAATTGTTCATACCTACTTACTTTTTATGTCTGCCGAATTTACGAGCTATTGTGCATGTTCATATGAATTTTAGTCGAAGTGTTAGCGTAGCTGGCAATCTGCTTTGATTTTGTCAAATTGGATATGAACTACGTCGAAATTTCGGTAGGGAATGTTGCCAATAACCTTCAACGCTAGCTTGAAAGGTTTCGAATGGAGAGTTATGTAACCCGATTGCTATTAATACATGTTTTCCCGCATTGTGGGGAATATAAGTAGTAATGCTTTGCCATCTCAGTGACAGCTAATCCAAGCTCCGGTGTTCTTAGATCTTTAGTTTTTTACATGTTCGCTATGGGACTCGGGATTTTTTTTCTTGGTTTTACTGTGATTCTTTATGTGCACCCATCCATCAGATTATTGAATTCTGATGTCTGATGCTCAGACTCGGGAATTTGGCTGAGGCGTTAATGATGCATAGATAGGATGGATACAGACCTTCAACTTTAATTTGAAGGATATTGGTTAGAGGGAAATGTAATTTACGAGCATTGGTACTTGAGTTTATTAGTTTTTCAAGCAATTTGCTGTGTATTGTGTGTTCAATTTCAGAAAGGGTTTCTTGCCTTTAGCTTCTGCATTGGAGGACCTGATAGATTTGGCTCCGCATTATCAGGATTCTAATCTTCGTTTGCGACCTCACATAAACAAGTTCTCCTAGTCTAGGGCTCTTTCTACATATGAAGAACAAAAGAGTCTTTCTTCAGTAGTTTTTTGGTTTATTTGAATCGAGGGAGTCTTGTGAGGAGGAAACAATCAGTGTTTTTACTTTTGAGGCGGCACACGAGGTTTTTTTGTTAGTCAACTCTCAATGAGATGTGAAAGATTATCGATTTACACAACTTTTATTTCAATCTCAAGGGGGTTCACTTGTTTTTGTGATTGATCAGGTTGCTTACATGGCTCTTGTGGGATCGTTTCCATTCAACTCTTTTCTGTCGGGAGTTCTCTCGTGTGTTGGGACAGCAGTTCTTGCTGGTGAGCTTAGTCTGTTTGCCCTTTACCAAAATGTCAGGAGGATGCTAAAGCTAATTGTTGTTATCTTTGTTCTGCACACAGTTTGCCTCCGAATTCAAGTGAACAAGGAAAACAAGGAATTCAAGGTAACATTAAGCCATTTCCTCTTCACATATACCATGATCCATTTCAATCCAAACCTGAACGATACTTGCTCCGTCTTTAGTCATCATCAACCAAACCCTTCTATGCTGTCCTTTTTCATATGATGGGAAGCAATTATCTAAAAAGTCTTAATTATTTGTTTCTCCGTTGATTCCGGAGGTTATGGCTGCTAAAAAACACAGAAGATAATAGGGTTTTAAGTTTATCACCTCAGCTTCAATTCATTGGAAGAGAGACTCCTCATGCATAATAATAACAACAATGATGGTAATGGTCATTAGGTTTTTGTGAATGCATCCAAAGAAAATGTAGATTTTGTACCATAAAAACACGATTCTACCTCGGGTGGGTTATCGATGTTTCTTTCTTTCACTCTGTTCTAACGATTTCGAAACTCATCCGAATATCCGCAGGATTTGCCACCGGAGAGAGCATTTGCCGATTTCGTGCTATGCAACTTGGTCCTCCACCTAGTGATCATCAACTTCCTCGGTTAAATTGCCCTCCTTCCTTCCTCCATTAACCTTCCAACACTTTCTTCTTCACCTTACTGCTACCACTTCCGTATCCATAATAAGGTAAAGTAAGGAACAAAGCAAAAGGAGGGTGGATGATAGAAAACAAGTTGCTTTTTCATTATGCATTTAGAAAAATTCTGGGATTTTTTTTTAAATTTTATTTTAGGTATTGCTTGATGAACATACATACATATATATATATATAGATATGCAATTATTATGCATTTAACTATTTTCATAGACTTCTTCGCCTACTGCTTCTTCTTCCATATCCATAAGCATAAGGTAAAGGAACTAAGCAAAGGGTGGATGACGGAAAACAAGTTGCTTTTTTTTTCTATACATTTAAAAAAATTTGTGGGATTTTTTTAGGTATTGTTTGATGGCTATATATATATATATATGCGTGTGTGTGTATAACGAGTTGCTTTTTAATTATACATTTAAAAAGTTGTGGGATTTATATATATATATGTATATATATATATATATATATGTATGTATGCTTTTAAACTGTTATCATGGATGAGATATTTATGAATTTTGCAGAGCATTTACTTGGTTAGGCTTTAGTACGAATGCTCTTGCTTTCATTTTTATTTCGTTCTTCACAACTGTCGCTGCGGGCAATTATTATCCCCCCACAGAAACCTCTGGGAAAACGACGTCGTTAGGAGTGGAATAGGTTCGGCATTGTGCCACGTGGAAACCCCGGATATTAAAATTGAAAAATCGAATGGTTTTGCATTAAATAATAAGTAATCGTACTTCAATCTAATTTAATGCAGAAATTGAACGGATGAATTTTTAAAAAAAATTGAAAAATCGAAATATACAAGCAGTTAAAATTTTTATTTTTTTTTAACAAGTATGTTTGTGAAATATATATAATCGAAAGGAATTTAATATAAAATAAAAATAAAAGAAGGAAATGTCGCTCCAGTGTCCGTGTAGGGAGGAGACCGAGAAGGAAGGAGGTATCTTGGACGACTTCGTTTTCGTCAAAGCCTTCGATTACGCCATGTCTAACTACAAGGTTTTTTCTCTCAATCTCTCACTGAATTTTCTGTATGCAAAGCATGATCGTGTCGTATCGATGGGTACGATATTGATGTAATGAATGCGTATGAGTATACGCAAATATACATGTTCTGTGCGAGATCGTATCGCGCAAGGATATTCATACGATGAATTGATACTGATTTTGCTCATTCGGTGTTGTTCTTACGATTTTTGATGTCCTTAGTTTGGAATTATCAGGAATTAGAAGCTTTCTATACCTAAGAATACTTGAAACAATGTGACACCAAATCTGTCCGTATCCTCCATCGACATCTTTCCATATATATATATATTCCATAATCTCTAAGGTTTCTCCATTTTTTAGATCTATATAAAATATTATTAAAACTAAAACTGTATATGTCATATTAATGGTACTAGCTATAAATATTTTTAAAATAATCCGAGAAATCTAACACGAAATCGAATTTGATACAACTAAAAAATTGAACTTCAAAAAACAAAACGTAAAATAATAGGGAGAAGTCCCAACTCAATTGGAAAATGACAAAATCCCTCTACCAATTTGTGGATTCGATTCTTTCTAGGATCTGAGTTTTTTCTTGAACCGATCAGTTTCGAATGGTTTACTTGTTCCGTATGATTTGTCGGCTATTGCACGGAACCGGTGGGTTTACTGTCCAAGATGTCGTCCGACCCACGGAATCAGTCGGTGTCTGGTCCGAAGGACTCTGCAATTGATTCTCCGCCGTTGCAAAAAAAAAAACGGAAAATAATGTGCGGTTCTTTTTTTTCACAAAAATTAATAGATTAAATTAATAAGTGGAAGGACAATCTTCGCTACAATTCGATAAAGCCACTCAGGACAGGAGTTTGAATATAATACAAAAAGAGATTTACGATTCATCGCAAATTTCGCAATCGCATCAGCCGGAGAATTACTAGTCCTTTGTATATGAGCCAAACTGATACTCGGAAACCTCTCCCAAAGCACTTCAATTTCTTGAGTATATCTCTGCCAACTTAACGACTTCTTGTTGTTATTGATCTCTTCTACCACTTCTTTCGGACTTTGTGTTTTCTTTTGAATAGTGTCGCGACAATAATTACGAATATTCAATTTTTTTTTTATGAAAACGAATATTCAATTTCAGGATTAATGCTTAAAAGAATAATATGGGAAAGCGACACCACTCTACTCTTATGTTAAGAAGTTAAATAATAATAATAATGCATATTTGTGGACCGAAATATTCCTTCAAATCTAAGTTTAATTAATATATACAGTTTATTATACCAAAGACAATGGTTGTCGTTAGGACATTTTCAAGTTGCATTAAGACTATATATTAGCTCATATCTTCACTAATAAGGTAAAAAAAGATTAAAGTTAAAGAGCATAGAACTGTAGTAAATTTGCAATGAGTGATTGGATCGACATAAGTAATCTGTAATCACATCAAATCAGTTTGTCCTTTATTCAATATTGAATTTTTTTAATTAGTAAAAATAAAAATTCAAATTACCAAAAAAACATACAAATTCAATACCCAATTTTACATTTGCATTGTAAAAAGAGACATGATTATGTGATTTCAATACTATATATATTGTATTTATATAATTTATTCCATATATATATGACGTTCACGAGTCCCAAAGAAGGGCATGCAACGTTTTATTTTATTTATTAGATCCGTGATTATATTTAATTTATTTATTATTTTACTTCAACGGTAATTAAATTTTCATTGCACGTGGCCCCCGAATCATTTCACATTCTGGTTATATATTATATTAAATTAAATTTATTTTACTAATTCATTAATAAGACTGTTATTTTGTTGTATCTTTCGAAATTTTTTTCTTGAGAATCCAAATGTATCGATATTGGACTCCACGTTTTGTAACGAGAAGAGTGACGTTCAAGTCTTCCCAGACACTTTGTTTTTTTTTTTTAAAAAAAAAATTATTTTATATAGTTTTGTCGGAAATGTGGTATACTTATACTATACGTATATGTATACACGCAGCAGACAAACACATGCAATTATATATTGACGGATATGTATGCATATGTGTGTATGTATACACGTGCTGACGTTGCATGTGTTTCCGATCCGTATGTTTGTATACACATATATATACGTGTGTGGATGTAAAGTGCTGATATAGTTGGTGTGTATATATATATATATTTATACGCACGTACGTTTGTGGACGACAGTGTTTGGGGAGAGGGAAGTTGTGGTGTGTCCAAATTCTATTAATCTTAGATTTATTGTAATTTAAATAATTTTGATAGTGTGATTTGACGATTGTTTAAAAAAAAAAAAGAGACTCTCTTCGATAATTGTGAAAAAAAAATAGATTTATTTTTTTTATACCAGGGCGAATTGATTTATTACTGTAATTATGTAAGTAAATAAATAAAATTGTTGATAAATATATCCAACAAACTATTAAGTGTTTATATTTTAATTCTGATATATAAAGTACAGTAAATCGATTAATAATATTTAATCGTCACATTCTATTATTTCTAAAATTAACAATCTCCAACTAAATAAATTGAATGAAAATCAAATTTTTGCAGAAAAATATTTGTTTTCAATATACGATAAATCCAATCATATCAGAATAAAATATAGAACTTTTTTTTTTCAAAATCAAATTTCAAAAACATTAAAAATAACAGAAAATTTTCATCTTTTACAAAAAAAATAAATAAATTTATGCTTCTAAATCTTATGAGAAAAATTTGCGACACCTATTTTTTTTTTCTGGTGCTCAATGAGTTGATTAAAGCAAAAGATGAAAAAATAAAAAATAAAAAGATTAATTTTGAAAGAAAAGAAGTGTCACAATCTCAGCCATCGTTTTTGAATTCCTTCGATAATGGGGTTAAAACATAATTATGATATATGCTCGAAATATTAATTAAATAAATGAATTAATCCAAATATATTAAAATTTAAAACACAACACTATACTTTTTTTTTAAAATTTTTTTTTTGCTTGTGGTATTAATCCCTTAATTACAGATATAAAGAAGATTGGAATTGTTAATTGTGTCTTCCACCTTGCGGTATCTTTTTGTTCTTAAACTCAATAATTACCTATCATTATACTTTTAACTTTGTGATTAGTTGGATTTGGCCCAAATGGTTTAAATGTTAATTGTCGTTTCATAAAAAAAGAAGAAGAGATTTTTATGCTAAATTTGATATATTTTAAATTTTTCAAAATGACAACCAATTTCATCTGCTTTTATCTTCCATGTATCTATCTATATGCAATGAATGATTATATTAAAAAAATAAATAAAGATGTTGTCCTTAAACTTTACCGTTTTATGATTTATTTCCGTTGAACAACCAACAAAAATCGAATTTTGATATTTTTCAAATAATTAAAATAAAATCTAATGAAATCTAAATTTTCGCCCAAATTTGTATAGTTTAGATTATTTATAGTATTGTTGTTATATTGGGTTTTAAATTAACATTTTTCAGTTATAATTTGTATATTTTAAATTACATCAAAATTAAAATATTAATTACCTTCGATATTTAAAATATCCGGGTATTCATTTAATTCCCCTTTTCACCTTCCATGGTTCACACCCAAATATCCATATATTTCAATCCATAAGCAATAATCCATCACTATAATAATGCCTATGGCTTGATTATAGTCTACAAATTGGACTAAATGTTGATTTGTTTGATATATCCATATATAATATAAACTATATATGTATCTTTATGGAAATAGTATTTTCTAATCCATAAAGATAAATTAACTTTTCGGCCGACTAATTCATTGGATTCGAGACAAATCAATAGAAATAACTCCTTATTTCACACTAAAATTAAAAATCTGATATATTGGTAAGGGGAGATTAGTGAAACGAATCCGTATAATTTATGATAAAACCAACTAATCGTTTGTAATTTTTGCATGGTGATTTCACTTTCCAGTCATTAAATTGATAACCCAAATTCCGTTTATAAAATGAGAATACAATATGAAATTCAAGAATTTCGCGAGATTTTTATTGCAATGATGACACGTGGCAGAGCACGAGTGGACTAAAAGGGGAGGACCACAAACACGGAAGACCGTCAGATGTACAAAATCTAAAATAGTAAGAACCTCGTGGTGGGACCCACAGTCGTCTGAGATCTCCTCCCTTCTTCCTCTTAGAAGTCAAACCACACCTCAAACACTCCCTTTGAACCCTAAAAACTTGCTCCGACCAGTTCGATGGCTTCGGTTGCTCCGTCACGCGCCCTTTAAACGCGTTTCTCCCACGCGCCATAATCCCTTGAAAAATGTTTGTTTTTTCGTCGAGAGTTATTCAACTACACGTCGCCTGCCATTTGTTATAGCTTTAATCGTCGTAATCTTTTGACAATATGAGTTGAGCGCGAATAAAATAAAAAGAAAAAGAAAAAAAAAATCGAAGTTTTTTTGTGAGGATTTGTTATTATCGAAGAGTCCGAAATTGAATATCAAACCGTAATTATAATTTTGTTAATGTTTTATAAAATTAGGGATTATGACTTTGTTGTCTTTCTACATATTTTTCAACGAATAGTTTTTGTTTTCGGTCCAATTCTTTGTACATAGAATTTGATATTTGATTGATAATGCGAGGAAAAGACAAGAACATGCAATAATTGCATGTCGTGTGGATGATAGGTGAACCAATTGAAAGGTCCCATTAACATCCTTACTTATCAATTTAAATGTGGTTCCGTATTTTGATATTATCAAGAAACAGACGTAATCTCTCTCTTTTTTTAATTTTTTTTTTTTGTGACTAATAAAAATGGTTAGGGCCCATATGAATTTTTTTTTATAATTCTAAATATTTGTTAAAACTAAAATACGAAAGTGGAAATAGTAATTGCTGCCCTTTCTCCGCTCTACACTGGGTCTTCGTTGTTTCCTTGCATAGTCTCTTCATAATTTTGTTTGGTAACCAGGGATCAAGGGTCAAATTAATCTCAAAATCGAAAGTTTGTCATGATTAGAAATGCGTTTTATTCTCGAATTTAAAATTTAAATTCGAGGCAGAACATACATTTTACATCTCATTTCAACGGTTGAATTTCTAGATTTTGGAGGAATACAATATTATGTTAAATATTGTGAATCATATTTTTTTTCCGTTACATCTATGTTTCCTTTTATTTCATTTGTTATTTTTTCTATAAATATATGAATTATTTTCATTGTAATGTAACAAGAAGAATAAAATATGTAGTAATAAAAGTAATTTCGTTCATTTCTATTTGTCTTATTTTATTTATGCATTCGATTTTTCTACATAATTATCCAAATGAAGTGTCTCCTCATACTAATTTTTCATATATATATATATATATATATATATTTAAGTATAGGTTTGTATTGCAAAATGATAAATTTAATAAAAGTGTATCTACCAAACCATAAATATAACGTAGTCATTTTTAAATCGTAGTTTAAACCAGATTATTACGCGTGCTTAGAAAAAACTTTGGTTCAATAAATGTAAATCATTGGGTCTTAGGGATATATATATACACATATGGGGGAGATATTATAAAGTTTAATGTAATGTTTTGGGAATTATACGTACTATACCTTCCACGGAAACCAAAATACGAGTTTTCGTATCATTTTACGTGAAAACGAAGCAAGAACAATATCATGACAACAAGAAGAAACGCCAATTATAACGTCAAGAATTTAAATAAAAAGAAAAAAAGGATAATGCGATTGACAATTTAAAAAATAAACGAAGATGGGAAATTGTAGATTGAATATACGAATTATTAAAAATAACATTATTTATGAACCGGATTAGATACATGGAATAAACAGTCATTGTTTGCAAATAATATAATTTTTACATCTTAGAATTATATTGGTTCCATTTTTTGTAATCGTTGGTTGCAGAAAATAATGGCCGTATAGTATTAAGTATTTTTAAATATTTCATGCGAAATGTAACGTAATTGGTTTTATTGATTCTAATTAGCATATGCTCTAAAAAGATATATTTTCATTCATATATATATATATATATAGATTATTTCTTCAAATGGGTAAATTTCCAAATGAGATCGATAAAAAAAAAACATGAATAGTATATTTTTCAGAGTAGAAACTTATGACGCACATAAAGTTGTCAGCAAAGTCATGGAGGCCAGTTTTCTTGTTTTCATAACAGAGAATACGATATATATATATATATATATACACTTTCTCGAAATTTCTTGGCATTATTATAAAAAATATACCAATTATTTTCATTTGTTATTAATATTCACTAATTGTTATAGTGAAAAATAGGAGCAGCGTAATAATAAATAATAATGTATCTCAATAAATTTTGCAATAGTAAAATTAAAAAAAAAATAGGTTGCAGAGGGCACTGGACGAGCTGACAAAGCAATGAAGTCATGCATCACTTTACACCCACACACGGAAACATATATATATACATATACATATACATATACATATATATATTACAGTATAACATATACTATATGAAACAAAACAAAAATAAATCGTAACGTATTATTTTTTTAAAAAGAAAATATTTTTAATTAAAAAAAAACAAGAAATTGGAGAAATTAATGGAGATTAAAAAGATTATTTAGTAGAAACAGGAAGGCAGAGCAGAAACAATTACCTAGGAAACGCACGTTCACCCTCTTCGTCTCCCCCCCCCCCCC